AAATAATATAATCTTAAAATTAGATTTGGAAAGTATTCGATGTATGTATCCAAATCCTATTTAATATCCAATTTTGAAGTATCCAATTGTTAAAATCGGGTTAATTTTTCAATTTTGACCCGACCCTTATTCTATTTTGTACTTCTCTTTTAATAATATAGAGATTTGAAACTAAACCCTGAATCATAAACACTAAACTTTACTCCATAAAACTATACCCTACATATAAAATAGTCAATCTAAACTTACAAAATAAATTTTATATCTTTAAAGTTATTTTTTCTATTTATGGTATTTTCGTAAAAATAAATATTTTTATATTTTTAGAAAAATATATAAATAGTAATATTATTGGAAAAAAAAGAAAAAATTATGATATTTTAAGAGATTCCTCTTAAAACATCAATCAAATTCAATAGTTACATGGTACGTTTTAATTCAACAAAACTTAACATCACCAAAGAATGAAAAAAAATTATGGTTCTTCATTTTGTTTGATAATATAGTAATGGGCCTAATGAATCGTTGACCAAGGAACGAAATAGTAATGGGTTTATATGAATGAATGGGAGTTGAGATATTGTTGGGAGTTAGGTATGGACTCTATTGTATGGCAACCTTATTGAATGAACCACTCATTTCACCTAACAAAAATTAACAAATCATCGTTGACATGTTTCAACCTTTTAGAACATAGAAACAAATGAGACAAAGAAAAAAAAAACATAAAAACAAATTATTTACTTCGTACCCACAAAATGTTCTTATTTGTATGGAATCATTCTAGTATTAAATGTTAAAATTAGTTGATTTCAACCTGATAAAACAAGAACTTAGTGATGATTTTGTCAAAATAAATCACCACCAGAGAATACCAAAAAAGAAAATTACAATTTGTTCTTTTCTCCAACAACGGTGGTGGAGATCTTCTTCACGGATGTAGCGGCGGTTCCAATCGGGCGGGGGAGGATCTGATGCGCTAGACCCCGGTTTGAAGACGCTGGTGGTTGTATCCGACTTTCTGCATGGCTCGCCCGTCCTTCTGGTCGCTCCGGCTACGGCGGAAGTCGGTGAAGGAGAGGTGGGTTTTTGTTTTGATTCAATGGTTTACGGAGGATCTCTTGATCCTTTGACGACCGCTGCGGGTTCCGGGTCAGGAGTGTTTGTCTGAGCCATCAACCTCCGGATCTGCCGTAAGTGGTTTCTTTCGGTCCGGCTGAGAAGTTTTCTGCTCAGGGGAACTCGAGGCTTTTGGTTTTGGTTGGTGGGGTTAGATTCCCGGTGGTCGGATTGCTAGGCGTGGGATCCGGTTTCTCGGAACCGATTGTTGGTTGGTTGGGTACTCCGGGAGGAGTGTAGCAGGTTGGTCGGCCGGTGGGTTGGGGTCGATGTCGGGAACCGGTTTCTCCCTTCGGATCTCCCCTTCCCCTTGGCTCTGCCGCAACGCCGTGCTCCTTGATTCCGCCGGATTTGGTACCCTGACTCTCTGCCTCCGGTTATACAGCAAGATCCGAGCCGTTAACCTCGTCGTCGGAAGTTTTTCCGTTTTCCTCTTTTGGACTTCTGAAGTTTCGTTTCTGTAAAGTTTTTGCCCGGCCCGTCAAGGGCCCAGCCCATTTCGGGGTTAATTAATAAAAATTAAAAAAAAAAAAAATTACGATTTGTTAACGAACAAATAAGATCAAAATTTCTTGGGTTTAACTAGTTTCAAAGATTGTAAGATCTTGACCAAAAAAAACGATTGTAAGAACAGACAATATTCTTTGAGTATTAATTTACTTAAAATTTTGTAAAATCATTTTTGTGATACTTATAATCATTTGAATTGACTGAAAACTAATTTTGTTAGGAAAAATGGATAGTGTAAGACTTAAATCAAACTCAAGATTTTATTAATTTAAAATAGACAAATCTCGTTTGCATAGGATCTTATTCGGATTTTGGCTTATGTTCTGGAATGATAATTTCTGTTGAAATCTTGTAGGTGTCCATTTTTACTTGATTAAAGTTTTAAAAATTCATCAAGAATGTTTAGCGCGCTACTTTAGAGTATTAAATTTTCAAATCTCGTTTGTAAACTCTTCTCTTCCTAATTGGATTATCAATCAAGAAACATTATTTTAATAGTTTGGTTGGAAAAAAAAATCATTAAGAATAATCAAATACTTGAATATAGTTATCTGGTAGCTTTAATGCCATAAATTATCGTATAAGTAGTGTTCTTACCACTCCGGCGACCATGCCCTGTCCGGAGCTTAAGCCCAACAAGCAAAGACGTTTGTCAGCAACATAATATTAAATGTTTAGGGCCGGCAAATATTTGAAAGATCATTTAATACAGTGGTTTAGTCCAGTTAGAGTTTGAGGCTGCGGTTCAAATTTTCCTTATAGCATTTTTTAATTTTAGGACAATTTTTTTTTTTGCTGTAAGCATCCCATAACTTTGGGCCGGTTCTACCGGCGACCTTAGGTTTCCATTGAAGAGTTTACGTTGGTGCTTGATTCATACATGCGTCGTAGTATTAATTAGTTTACTTTGAATTTTGTAAAACATGTTTAAATTGATTGGAAAATAATTATGTTAATTAAGAAAAACGGATAGCGCCGTAGCAAAAGACTTAATAAAAATCCACAATTATTAAATTAAATTGGACAAGTCTTGCTTGTGTAGAATTCTACACGGATTTTACTCTATGTTCTAAAATGACATCTTTTAACCCAAAAGTTTGAAACATGAGCTGACAACCTTGAGCTGATTGACCACAACCTCTATGGAATGTGAGCGATCTGGGTTGGATTCGACTGGTTCTTACCTAATAAAAGTTTTGATTGAAACATTTTTTCTTTTCTACTCATTATTTATATAATTCTCATTTTGGTGCTTAACTAATTTAACATTTCATCCAAAAAAAAAAAATCATGTTCAAATATAAAAAGTAGATTTGCTTTTGTTTCTTGAAAGACCTCCACGACGTGATGATCCATTCTCTCCGGAACTTGCCATAGTCCAAGTACTTTCTAAAGATCAAATATATAATATAACAAAACCAAACACAAGATTGTAAGCAAAATATATTAGATGGCTTGATAAAATAATAAAACCAAACAGATCGAAGACCGTAAGCAAAACCAAACTTGCCGTGATGATTTTTTCATTTTTTACCTTAAGCTCTCTCAATAAGACGATTTTTCTATGCTAGATAGCTTCTATTTCTTTAGAAAAAAATAATAAGGTGCTAAAGACTATTTATACTTGTATTGCATAAGACTTTAAACCTAATTAAATAATTTATGAGATAATTATGAGACATCGAAAGATTAGTTTAAATTTATATAAGATATGAACGAATTGTTTAAACATTAGTTGTACTTATCAAAAGAACCTAAAAGAGTTTGACGTTATCACATGAGATAATAGTTGCATTGGTTTTATACGTTATCAACAACTTTTGCATGATTTTGTTTTTTTTTTATAATTTGTTATCCTATTTGTTCCACATCAAATTTGAAGAGGAACAATTTTCTTATGTGATTCCTCAAAAAAAAAAGGAACGTATAGGAATAGTGTGGGGTCCATGTGTCAAAATTTGGAATATATATTACTGCTAAATGGTAAACAAAATGAGGAACAAGGAGGAATAACTTATTCCTTTTCATTCCTTATAAAAAAATTGGTCACCAGTTGGACCCTATATATGTAGCGTAAACCCCAAAATATTTATACATAATTTTCTTACAGCCACGTAAACCATACTATTCAAATAATCTGATTTTTAAAAAATCATTTGCGCACTGCAAAAAACTTATTTGAAAATTAGAAAGATAATCATTTTTGTTTTAGCCTACGGTAAAAATAAATTGTAGTTTATATACTAATATTTTCGGGAAAAATGCCATTAAAATCCTGTAGAATATGATTTCGTTGATTTAAATCATGTACTCTCCAACTGTTGATTTAAATCACAAACTTTCTGTTGACTCTTTATTTATTATGAAACTTTGGTTGACTTTGTCAATTTAGGCACATCGTTAAATGGCCAGACAAAGCAAGTAAAGGAGATTAATTTCTTGTTAACTATTTCCATCAAATACAAAAAAAACGTTTTAAACCTAACACAAAGCACGTTTTAAACCTAACACAAATACAAACGAAACTGTTTTGGGGGAAAATCTTAATCGATTAAGTGTTTTGCGTTATTGTTAAAACGGTTTTATTTTGTAGTTGATATATGTCGTTAACGAGAATTAACCCCGTTTAATTGTTCCGTCTTACCATTTAACGATGTGTCTAAATTGGCAAAGTCAACCAAAGTTTCATAATAAATAGAGAGTCAACAAAACGTTTGTGATTTAAATCAACAGTCGGAAAGTACATGATTTAAATCAACGAAATCGTACTCTACAGGATTTTAATGGCATTTTTCCCTAATATTTTCTGTTGGGATCTTGTATTCTTTTTTAGTTGATTCCGCTTCTTAAAAAGTCATCAAAATTATTTTTTTGAGCAACCACTTAAATTTATATATTATAGTTAGGATATTAGTTGCTAAAATAATAACTGAGAAAATAATGCGAAAATAGTTGATGATCTCTCATAAAAATCTTTAACAGGTTAATTATATTTATGTGTATTAGATAGAAGAAATTGAAGTTAGCTGAAAACTTGATATTTTAAAAATCTGAAGTTAAATTACTGATAATGGTCGGCCATAAAAACACTATTATGATTTATTCAGGTTTTTGAATATTTTAGTAAATTACGTAGAACTAGAACCTAATATTTCCTAGAATTATAAACTTGAAGTTTTGTTGAATTACAAATGGAAGTGAATTTTAATGGATCTATATGAAAGTGAAAACCCTAACATTTCCGAAACAACAAAATTAATCGTCATAAACTCTTTAATTAAATCCATAACAATCATCAGAAATTATTAATTTGTCCAAAATCCAGAATAAATAAATAAAAATAAAAGAAGCTTATTCAACTTATCTAAATAAGTAAAAATAATAATAATAACCTAAGCTAAGATATAACCAAATGAAGAAACCATCACAACAGCTACGAACAGTTTTGATACTGATAAAATCCCGCTACTAGATGATGGTGACGGTGCTGGTGAAGTTGCTGAAGGCGATGAAGCTGTCACATCCGCTGATGAGACTCCCCGTGCCGGTGGTGAAGCGGCGACCACCGGTGCTGAGTGGCTAACGGGCGGTGATGGAGGGGTTTTAGCCGGCGACTTTGTTGATGATGGTGAAGTCGTAGGTGGCTCTATGGGTGGAGAAACTGCACATTTTCATAAGTACAAAACTTAATTACTCGTATGTTATAGACACTAAAACAAATGATCCACTTGTTAATAAAAAAAAAAATTATAAATTTATATTTACTCAAAGACAAAAAAAAAATTTAGAGATATTAAATATACATTAGAATTTTAAGAACAATATACAAATAATTTTTTTTATTTTATTATAAAAATATAATGAAGAAAATATAAAATATATATTACAATATTTTAATTAACCCGCCATGTAAATTATAGACATAAATTCTACATTTTATTCCTATCAACAAAAACCTGTACATTTTTTATTTTAAAATAATAATAATTCAAAACATTATATATATATACACAAGTATTTTAAGAACATTATACAAATAAAATTTCCATTTTCTTCAAATAATAACTTAATTAACAACATAAAATACTTATTAGTATTCTAAGAACATTTATATGATGAGACTTACTTGGTGTTGATGGAGCAGGAGTAGATACATCTACAAATCAAACATATACAACAACAACAACAACAACAACAAAAAACAAAAATTAACATTTTAAATCATTCAAATTCATATTTCACACTATTAAAAACCCAAAAAAAAAAATGAAATATACATACCACAATGAGGATCAATAGGGACGTGACAAATCTTAGGCATGTCAAGAGCTTTTGTATCATCCAATACAAATCCCATATCACGACCACTTTGTAACGCAGAGCAAAGACAATTAGGGTTATATCCAAGAACCGTTTTGATCCCAACACAACATGTTGTGGTCGGAGCAGGATCCGTTGATCCGACGGTTAAGAAGGAGAGACAGTCCACCATGCTGTATATGACACTGGAACAGTCGATGGAGTTTGATGGTTCTGGTGTCGGTGTCGGAGACATCAACGGTGACTGTGTCGGCGATCCAACGTCGACGGCGGCTGCATGGGTTAGTGATGATGATAGTAATAAGACGATAGAGAGCAGAACAAACGATGATGACTTCATTTTTTGGTGTGTTTAGGGTTAGTGTGTTATTAGGGTTTTTTTTTTTTTGTTCTCTCGTAGCTTGAAATGTCCTTAGAGGCTTTATATATAAAAAGTGAAATGTGTTCACTCAAGGTTGGGTAAAATTTATTTGTTTTTTATTTTTTGAGTTTTAGTTTGGTAATTTGAAAGATTGTTTTTGATTTGGGTTTATCTAAGTATTAGTTACACTAGATTTTTGTTTTATCTCTTAAGAGGTCGAGATTGTAGAGTTTGTTTTTAAAGATTGTTGGTGGATTTCAAAATTTGAAAGTTAATCGAAAATATATGTTTTTTAAATTAAAGATTAAACATCAAGAAAAATAAACGAAAAAAAATATCAAGATAAGACTATGAAACTTGTAAAGTATTTTATAACATTTTATAAATATTTATAAGACATTAGATTTTGATACCAAGATATAAAATAAAAAAATAATACTCTTTACGTTTCCAGTATCAAAGTGAAAATATGTTAGTTTCAGTTTCATCTATCTTTGTTGTTATCGCTTTCGATCGATTTCATTCCTCACAATCTTTAATTTACATATTTAACATAAATTATATTTCAATGATTCGATTGTGTATTTATCAAAAAAGAATTATTCGATTGTGTACAACATATAATCTCTAAATAGCAAGATAGTTGGCCCATTAGTAAGCCTAAATGTTTTTGTTAATTTGCTAGTTTATTCTACATTTCCAACTAAAGGCCCAAATTTATTGTCTTTGTTCCTTATCAAACATTCAAACTTATGAACAAGAAAAATCCACATCCACTAGCTTCTCTCTCTTTTTTATTTATTTATTTTTTTATATTTTTTTTTGCACTAGCTTCTCTCTAATGAGCTCATAAGAGCATTATTATCGGTGCAACCGATCGGGCCGTGGACGATTATTAAAAGCCCAATATATTAAAACAGTGTATTATTAGGCTGCATCTGAATGTTATCGAAGACCCGTTTGAGTGTGAGTCTTACGCAACGTGGCGACGTGGGAGAGGACAAAATTATTAATTTTCTTTTGGTTTATAATTTATTCTTTTGGCAAAAGAAAGAAAATTCCCAATTCGACTTAATCCTATTTCAAACGAACCCTAGACTCCGAGAGAAGTCCGATTTTGTTTCAGAGAGAACTCCGATATGTGATCTCTCCTCTGCCAAAGGAAAGGATCTCTCATCTTTTGGGTCACACAGTAACGATTGAGTCACCGTCTTCACCGTCTTCACATAGTATCGATTGAGTCACCGTCTTCTCCGGGAGAAGTCACCGTCTTCACCGTGTCGTCTCACCCTCCCGTCTCGTCAGCATCGTCTTCTGGATCTCAGCGTTTTCCTCCTCAGCGTCTTTTAAATCCTTCATCTTTCTCCATCGTCCTCAGGTACATGCAAGTCTATTTTCAGTCTTGTTAATTTTTTCTGAACTTTTTTATTTCGCTTAATTCAACCTTGTTCTCTGTAAAGTTTACAATTGTTGATTCAACCATGGTCTCTGTAAAGTTTACAATTTTGCTTAAGCGTTGGATATTTGGTTTAAGTTGTGATTTGTACAATTAATCATTGGTATGGTTTAGATCTGTTGTTTACAACTTGATAGAGGATTTGTATGTGGTGTCGGTATCATTGCTATGGTTTAGATCTGTTGTTATATTTCCAACTCGATGTAGGTTTACTTATAAGAAATATATGTTTAAGAAATCTATTAGGTTTAAGAAAGGATATGCTTAACCTTAATGCATATGATAATAGTGTTTTGATGAACCTTAACTATTTCTTGTTTTCTTTGTTTCTGAGGATTGTCTGTTTACGATAGCAAGGAAACTTGAGTAGGATTCATACATCACATTTGACTCCAAAGTTAAGAGGTATGTGAGTCAATCCTTTTACTTCATAGTTAATGTATTACATGATCTTGAATGCGACTTTGATTATGTGAATTGAAGTATGTATGCGAGTATGGTGTCTTATGTGTCTTCTGAGAACTTGTAGTTGTAAATGTGCTGTCTGATCATGTACTATCTAGTTGTTAATTCTACCTAGTGTAGTTTCTTTGTGATTGGTTCGTCAATGAAGTCATTGTATTGCTTTATTGTGATGATAATTGTTTTGTTCCAATTACTTCTGAATGAATATATAATTCTAAGTACATTACAGTAAACCGTCTTCTATGCTTTGTCAACATTGTATATAGTTTATAATTGATCTTCTTTGAAGAATATTAAAATCCTCAGTTTAAACTTAACAATCTTAATATGTTTTCTTCACTTAAAAGAATTAGAAACCTTTGTTAATGTTTAGAGAACTATATATTTAATGATATTTGAATGTTGATTTGATTGCGAGTTTGTTGTCTTGGGAGAAATTGTAGTTGTAAATGTGCTGTCTGAGCATGTACTATGTAGTTGTTAATTCTACCTAGTGTATTTTCTTTGTGATTGGCTCGTCATTGAAGTCATTGTCTTGCTTTACTGTGTAATGAATTGATCTTCTTTGAAGAATATATTTATTCACAGTTTAGACTTAACAATCTTAATATGTTTTCTTCACTTCAAACAATTAGAAACGTTTGTTATTGTTTAGAGAACTATTTAGTTAATGATATTTGAATGTTGATTTGATTGAAGTAGGTAATTGATAGCTTTAACTTTTCTGTATTAACTTCTTCCATCTACCTTCTGAAGCTTAACCATTAGAGATTTGATCCTCTCTTTCTTATCTCTCTTGAATCATCTCTCCTAAACATCTCTCGAATATCATTTCCCTTTTTTGGCTTCTTCTTTAAACCAATCTTTCTTCCTAATCATGTGGTTCTTCTTTAAACCTTCGGGTTAGCTTCTTCTTTCACCTTCTGGTTAGCTTCTTCTTTCACCTTCTGATTAGCTTCTTCTTTCACCTTCTGGTTAGGTTCTTCTTTCTTCTTCTGGTTAGGTTCTTCTTTCACCTTCTGGTTAGGTTCTTCTTTCACCTTCTGCTTCTTCATTCACCTTCTGGTTAGGTTCTTCTTTCACCTTCTGCTTCTTCTTTCACCTTCTGCTTCTTCATTCACCTTCTCTGTTTTGTTATTAACAAACCTTCTGTTTTCCTTTTAACAAATATGTATCCTTCTGTTTCCTTCTTGTTTCACTGTTTTCACTGATTTGCTTCTTCTTTCAACCAACTTTTTCCTTCTTCTGCAACCTAACTTTGACAATGGATTCAAACAATCCTTATGGGGGTTCAGGGGGGTACTTTAGCTTAAACAATTTCCCTTATGACAGCTTCTCCCAAAATGTCAACTTTGGGGCTACTCCTCCCACCCAATTCCCACCTTTTAGCCAACAACCATCTCAAGGCTGCCAAAACCCTTCTCCTAACCAAAACCCTTCTGGTAGCCAAAACCCTTCTCCTAACCAAAACCCTTCTCCTAACCAAAACCCAAATCCGTTAAGGGAGAGAAGGCAGTGGAACACTTCTGATGATCTTGTGTTGATCAGTGGGTGGCTGAACACATCAAAAGATGTGATTGTGGGCAATGACCAAAGGTCAGGGACCTTTTGGAAAAGGATTTCTGACTATTATGGAGCTAGTCAGCATGTGTTGAATGGTGCAGAACGAAGACTGCCTGATCACTGCAAGCAGAGATGGGGAAGGATAAGCAAAGAAGTCAGCCACTTCTGTGGAGCTTATGGTACTGTTGAGGCTGAAAAAGCAAGTGGCATGAATGATGTAGACGTTCTCAAGAATGCTCATACAATCTACATGTCACTTTACCAGAAAAAGTTTGGTCTCGAGCATGCTTGGGTGGAGTTGAGACAAGAACAGAAATGGTGTAGTCTAGGTGTTATGAACCCTAGTAGCAACACATCAAGCAAGATAAGGAGAGGTGAGGATGCTCCACAATCTTCACATGGTTCGATTGCAAATCAAACAGAGACCAGACCCGAAGGAGTGAAGGCGATGAAAAGTAAAAGGTTTAGGGGAAAAGACAAAGCTCCACCTGTTAAAGACTATCCTCAGCTGTGGGAGAACAAAGAGAAGGATAACGATGCGAAGATAAAACTCCAAAAGCTGGCAATTCTTGACACTCTAATTGCCAAGTCTTGGTCAAACCACGGCTCGTAAGTGTTTGGAAAATTTTGTCGTCGGAATTGTTGACTTGTTTGGCGATGAATACCTAAGGCGTCCTACACAAGAAGATCTCGAAAGACTACTTTATATTGGCGAACAACGGGAATTTCCAGGGATGGTTGGAAGCATTGATTGTATGCATTGGGGGTGGAAAAATTGTCCAACCGCATGGAAGGGTATGTATTCTCGAGGAACTGGAAAGCCAACTATTGTTTTGGAGGCGGTTGCTTCACAAGATCTCTGGATATGGCATGCTTTTTTTGGAGCACCAGGTACTTGTAATGATTTGAATGTTCTTGATCAATCACCGGTATTTAATGACATTATACAAGGTCAAGCCCCTCAAGCAAACTACTATGTCAACGGAATGGAGTATAATATGACTTACTATCTTACGGATGGTATTTATCCCGACTGGGCGACATTTATTCAATCTATCCGACTACCACAAACCCCGAAACATTCTTTGTTTGCAAAACGTCAAGAATCTGCACGGAAAGATGTTGAACGTGCATTTGGAGTCCTTCAAGCAAGGTTCACCATGGTTAAGAATCCATGTCTTCTATGGGAAAAAGGAAAAATCGCTTATATTATGAGAGCATGTCTCATACTTCATAATATGATAGTAGAAGATAAACGACATTCATACACTCTATTTGACAACCAAGAATTCGAAGAAGGTGCCCCAGATATAACGTTTTCGAACAACATGGCTACAAATCTCGACGGTATAGGTGATCGTCGCAGAAGAATACGTGATAAACAAGCACATCACCAATTAAAAGAGGATTTGATTGAGAATATATGGACAAAATTTGGACATCTTCCAAATGATTAAATACGTTTTTAAATATTGTATCATTTAAATAAAATGTTAAGTGCTTTCATTTCTATTTTTATATCTTTCTAAGTTTATATTTGATGTTTCTAATTTGTATCTTTTTTTTTTTGTTTTTAATAATTATTAAATTAATTAATAAAAATTTTAATTAGTTTTACATTATTTAATTATTATAATTTTAAGAACCTACAGGTTCAACCAATAACTATCACATTTTCTTTGGTTCTTAAAATTAACTATTACATTATAAATATATTAAACATTCACTAAGAACCATCTTTGGGGTTATGCCCATAATGATGCTCTAATATAACTCTAAACTTGTCATAGATCTATTCATTTAATCAAAGCTGAATGTATTTTTTATCAAATAAGAAAACGGCCATAGCTATAATTCACCTAATTTATTGAAATTTGTTTTGGTTATGTATGTAGTAGTATTAGAACAAATTTACTGTACATACGTTTATTCAAACACACAAAACAGGAAACGTCTTGAAAGACCAAATATTATTAATTTCATTAAACTATTGATACCAATAATAAAATTACTACATAATTTTACATTGATATCAATAATATAGTTATTAGAGAATTTTACATTGAGAAGACAAGTGAAGAAGAATGAAGAACAAGGACCACTGTCTGAAACCACAAATTAATTAATTTTACATTTTTTATAAGGGATATTTATTAATTTTACAAATTCAGAAACTAAACTTACCATAACATATATGGGAGCGATATACATGATGATGTTGCATACGCAACAAATTTCATCAATCATGAATCTCTGTGGTCCTCGAGAACCTACCAAAGTCAAGGTCAGGGTTGCAAGTGCAACCACAAACACGACCTCGACTATCATGATCACAATGATCAACAACCGATGTCTAGGTCGGTCGTGATACCTAAAATAGGCGGCTAAATAGATGGCCATTATACTCACTCCTATCCCGTTAGTAATGAGCATCGTAGTACCAAAGGTTTTAGTTTGATTCCATTCGGTTCCAAATTTTTTGCTTCTAAAGATTATGATTCAATAAGGTACCCAAAAAAACAAGGCTCTGTTCTGATTTCGATCCACTTCTTTTGGTTTTGGAGTTATGATCCCATTCATACGTTTGGATATTAAAAATAAAAGAAAAATAAATAGTAGCAAAACATAAGTAAAATCTAAGCAAATGTAAACAAATGAAATAGCAATACATAAGTAAAATCTAGGCAAATATAAGAAACAAATAGCAAAACTATATGCTTATTAAAGAAAGTTCATACATTAATAATGATATTCTCTCGTTTGCTCTGTATTTTCAGTTTCTTCTACAGTTTTTTTATCACACTTGTTGGTGATATACTTATTCATGTTTCAAATAACCGATAATGAAATCTACATATGCAAAAGAGTTATGGGAATAATAGGGACTGTAATCAGTGTTTATCTCTTCATGGTGAGGAATCGTTCCACTGGAAAAGTATCTCCATATGATGAGTCTGGTTTCTATACGGAAGGCCAATTGTTCATCTCCATCGTACCATATTGATGAGATATATAGTAAATGGCATTGGAATATTGATTCATCTTGCATTTGCATACATCAACATTTTTGTAATATTTGGCAAAAAGCGGATAATCCTACTTGCTGTTTAACGGAGTTCATGTCATTGGCCATCATCGCGTGCTTCCTAATGACGTTATTAGAGTTAACCATTGACCGTACACACAATGATAATCGGAATAATTTGTTGCGTTATTAATGTAGCCATTCATGCGGGTAGTCTACATCTTATTGTAAGTCCAATTCCAACATTTCTTTTCCTTGATAATTTTCTTATCACTTTTTCCTTTAATTAATAGAAAAATAAGATAAGCAATGTATTGTATACTAGAAAACGGTAATCCTAACAAAAAAATATGGATCATTGTGTCTATGGTATGTGGTTTTTTAGTTTTTACTATGGTATATATATGTATAATATATTGCATACTTTTTTCTATTTAAAAAATATTGTCTTCCTTTGATATGTTTAACTTTGAAATAACATGTCTGATTGAAAGAAAAAAACTTAGAAGACCAAGACACAACATGCTAATCAGTTTCTGTATGTAATCCTTCTAGTCTCTACGACTCTACCATTATTTTTTATCTCGCCAAACTCTTTAAGGATCTTATGTCTTACCACCATTGCAATTCATGTTTGGTTTCTTATATAAAAGACATCTTTTACCTTTTCTTAATTTTTCTTAGCTTAAGATTTGACTAAGAATCTACCAATAATGATGCTCTTAAGACTCCTTTCTTGAAGTCTGTTTGTGGTGTACATAGTAATACAAGAGATGCTTAGAGATGTATAACTTTGAAGACATGGTCCACGTTTGTAATGAATTGTGATACGTTCATATGTTCGGATATACCTATTTCAACATTTAAGCATCCTCCATAACTTGTAAATTAATTACATCTGTCCATGCATGTGTGATGTATTCAGTTTTATTTGCCCAAATATTCTTCTTTTGCCATGATTATTTCTTATTTTTATTGTTAACTGATAAATGGTTTTTGGTTTCAATGTTTCATCAATATTAGACCATATGCTATAGTAGGTTAGTATTACTATTTCCAATTTTTCATAAATATGTTATTTGGTAGAAATACTAAATGTTAGCCAAAATTAATGGAATATATTGGTTTATACCAATACTAATCCATGCATGTGTGTATTATACTAAAATTCATAACCTCTATTTTTCTTTATAAATTCTATATTTAATATTTGTATCACAGTTTACAAATATGTATATATACAATCTCTTTTTCATCTAGTAAAATCTAACAAAATTACTATTACACTAATAAATTTTGTTCACAAGAGGATAATACATCAATTGTGTATGTCGGATTTGTTTTGTTCGTGTATAAAGTTCAAATTTAATACAAGTTTATGTAGTTATAGACACGCGACAAAGTTTCATATAACAATACGATAAAAGTAACATAGTTTATCGGGAGACGTTTTCCCTATCAAATTTTTAACTCTTTATATATAAACGATAGTCAAATTAATGTCATGACAGCTCCAAGCCTCCAACCAACTCACGAACGAGAAACAAATCGTAAATAATAATGTCATGAGTATACAAAGACATCAATTGTATATTAAGAATTTATAGAACGCAAATCTTAATTTTTAGAGTAGACGCAAAAAATCGAATGATTCGGGAGACATTAGAATCAATGTGATTAAATGAGAATAAGAAAAGTCAACCCCATCCCACGTGTAATGCAGGTGGACATAAAGGCCTTTGAGTTCGTTCATGTACGGAAAGACTATCAAGGTGTAATGGTATTGGTACAAAATCAATTCTCTGAAATGGCATCGAAAATTAAGTCGAAAAATGAATCGGAAATATTTTTAACGATTTTTCGATAATTTTATCCAACTAGTAGTTGATTTCGACCAATGATCTCCAAAGATTATATTTAGTCGGAAATTCGTCGAAAATATTTGTTTACAATTTCTTTTTGATAATTACTTGTTTCCGACAATTTTCAAATAATTCGATAATCAAAAATTACTATGGTTTCTTGTATAATCTCTAAAACTAATCTTTGCATACAAAAACACATACACACAATGTATACAAATATATCTCTCTGATGGCATTGTGGAAAAAGTCTAAAGCCCAATACGGCTAGTTAGTTACGTTGTATATGAAATTTTTAGGAATAACCGAGGTTAAAATCGTATTGTCTAGTTTACAAAACTTGTTGCATTAGATTCTTTCAATTTGGTGTTAGATGACTCAGTTAAAAACTCTGAAGATCATGTTGAAATACCTTACTATTTGGACGGTTAAACGGTTTAAGTTGAATGTGTGTAAGTCATGTTGTGGTCGTTAACTCTAATTCGGTGCTAATTAACATGAATCACAAATATTTATATAGTTAACAATTAAAATGTATATATATAAACTGTATTCTCGTCAATATTTTTCTTATAATTTCATGACTTAATTAGGGTACGAATGATTACAACGGTCAAGATGGACAAATATGTTAGCAATTTAGTCCGTCCTATTTTTGAGGTAGACAACATAACGCGGCAATAAAACGAGCATGTGGCAAAAAAATTGTATCTATCAAAAAGTTTAACTAGGATTCTCCGAATTTGTGTTATCATTTGAAATTCACAAAAAGGTGAATATGTGTTATCAGAATGATGATATGTGACTAGTTTTTATCATAAAACATATATAAGTTAACTTAGTATGGTTTCTATGCAACTACATCGTCTAAACCATTAGTTTTATTGCTTAATACTTGTCTAATAAAACAAAAATCTACATCTAAACACCACTTAAAATTAATCCAACTTCTTAGTTTTGCAAAAACGAACATACACACTAAGTAACGTCGTTTGCTCTACCGTAAGGTCGAGTCGCAAAATTATGAGCACACGAATTAATTAAGAACTAGATGATGACCCGCACGTACGTGCGGGTGTATTTTCAAAGCATAGTTTGCTGGTTTAGTTTTCTTAAATAATGTAATGTGATTTGGCTTTTTATAATTTTTTTATTTCATATAGTTGAAGGATTAATGACTGCATTTGTTAACTGGAGTAGTATAATAGAAATTGTTGAATTGGAAAACCAAAGTTATAATAAGAAAGTCTTGAAGATGGTATTGAAAGAAATGTAACCGAAGTCATACTTGCAGGAAATGAAAAGAAAAAATGCAGAATTATAATTTAAAGGTTCTTGAACACGTCTTTGAAGACCACATTGGTTGTTTTCTTTTTTGATTTGCCATCTTTATCAACGATGAGCACCTTCAGTCGCTTTTTGGAAGTAACTCTTGAAAGAGCAACATATAGTTGTCCATGTGAAAAACATGGTCTAGGGAGGTAAAGACCAACGTTACTCAAAGATTGTCCCTGACTTATATCAATTGCCATGGCGAACGAAACAGCTAACGGCAATTGTCTTCGACGCATCAAAAAAGGAAGCTTTGTGTCTGATGGAGTTAACAATATACTGTACGTGGA